GGGGAAGAGAGACTGGAAGATACTGATGGGCACTTGACACTGTGAACAGAGAGTGATGATGCTGTGATGCAGTAGGATGCTGCAAACAGAAATGTTCGTACCCTGAGCTGGGCATCAGTCTCCTTGCAAAGATATGTGTCTCCATTTCTGTGCCCCCCCACCTCCCAAATAACTAAATTGTTAAATCCAGCTCCTGCCAGTTTTGCTGGGTTGGCCCAGGGGCTGAGGTTGGGGGTGGGTTTGGGGAAGGAAAACTGACAGTTCTTACCAGTTGGTGCAGTCAGCAGTGACAGAGTTGACTTTGCTCGACTCGGAGTGAGGAAGATTTAGTTGTTTTGTCAAAGTGGGAGTCAGTGCCCAGTTGAGCTTCTTGCCAATGTGGGAATCCAATGTGGGATTGGTTTGCTCTTTGTGAACATCTTTAGCAAGGCCAGCATTTGTTGCCCATCCCTAATTACCCTCAAACTGAGCGGGTTGCTCAGCCATTTCAGAGGCATTTAGGAGTCATCCACATTGGCATGGGTCTGGAGTCAAGGAGTCAAGACTATGTCAGGAAGCAGATTTCCTTCCTAATGATCCAGATGGGCTTTTGCAACAATTGGTCATTGGGCTTTTGCAACAATTGGTCATTGGGCCTTTGCAACAATTGGTCATTGGGCCGTTACTGAAACTAGTTTCCAACTGTAGCTTTATTTATGGAATTTAAATTCTCCCAGCTGCTGTGGTGGATTTGAACTTATGTTGCCATGACATTAGCCTTGACCTGGGTAACTTTATCATTATTCCCCCATCTCCCATTGAAGCACAACTAATTGAAGGCTATTTACAAATAAATGGTCAATGCTGCTGTTTGAAAATTGAATTCTGCAGGACAGGACCTTTTTCCTTTCTTGGAAATAATTGATTTTACTGGTTTTGTTACTCTGCCTGGAGCCAGTGTTCCTAAAGGTGCTGGGTCTGTTACTGTGATTCCAAAGATTTTTCCCCAGTCTCCCTTCACCATTACTTTGCCAAACCACCCCCACCCAACTTCTTATCTCACTACCTCCCGTCCATCATGGCACCATCACCTCATCCATTCCTTTTGGCCAAGCTGTTTGGCAGTAGGGTACCTTACAGCTGAACCTAATCCTGTCCCCACAGTTGGTGATATCTTCCCTTCCCCCACGCCCACAATGTTGTTGCCATTGTTACATGATCCTCCTCAAGGGACCAAGATGTGTAACACTCTTGTGCTGATGCTTCAGCTTGTGATTGTCAAGCCACCTCACTACTCCCGAAGGAGGTCCTGTGGCACAGTGGGTAATGAACCCTGCCTCTGAACTAAAAGTTCAGGTTTCGAGTCCCATTCCAGGACATGCTGGCCAATGAGGGTTCATTGATAGTGCAACCAAACCGGTAGATTAACAACTTATACACCCTTCTAGTTTGGATAAGAGCAGGAAAAACTCTTGCTTGCTACAGAATGTGCCTTCAAACTCCAGACAGCATTTGCTTAATTTGTCTCTGGATGCAGGAGGCCCTCTTGAGTTGCAATTTCTGTCACTAATGTACTTCCCGACTTGTGCAGGTGTTCGGAAGAAGGTGCGTCTCTACCAGTTCCTGCTGGAGCTTCTGAAGAGTGGGGACATGCGGGACTGCGTCTGGTGGGTGGACCGTGAGAAGGGCACTTTCCAGTTCTCCTCCAAACACAAGGAGGTGCTGGCCCATCGCTGGGGCATGCAGAAGGGCAACCGCAAGAAGATGACCTACCAGAAAATGGCCCGGGCCCTGAGGAACTACGGCAAGACCGGTGAGATCCGCAAGATTAAGAAGAAACTTACCTACCAATTTGATGGCATGCTGCTGTCTCAGAAGAAGTCTGAATGTAAAACCAGCTATTTGCCGTAACGTCACAGGAGGGGCCCTTTTCACTTTTGTTTTGGACTCTTCCGTCTTGGACTTTCAATGTTTATTAAGACATGAAGGCTGGTCTTGACACTGCACTTACTTCCTTGTTTTTGCGTTGTGTTTCTGCCTTGGTTTTCGAGAGCACTGTTGAAAGTCGCCAATGCCATAGCTTCTCAATGTGAGACATGCCGAGGCTCACAAACTGGACGCTACCTGCTGTTTTTCGAATAGAGCTGTGCAGCCCATTCAGTTTCTCCAGAAAACCTCTGAAGGCCATTGATTAGTCAAAAGGAGATGCCCCTTATTCTCCCCCGCTCTCCCCCCCCCACCCACCCTGCTGGGCTAGGGCTGGTTGGGGTAGCCATTTACGGGAGTTCTTAAAAGGGAGTTAATTACAAATCTCTACACTTTGGAGAGAAACCTTTTCCACCGCTTAGGGTTTGGGGCTGGGTTGGGGAGAGGAATTTCCAGGACAGGGGTACTTATCCATAGGATCAGAACTATGCCATCCAGGACAGAATTTAGGAAAAAAGTCATGTCCGTGCGAATAAATTCTTGCACAAAACCAGCCAATGCTAACTCAGTTCATCAGAGATGGACAGAGTTTTGCTAACTCAGGCTATTATGAGATACAGAGCCAAGGCAGTTACGGATACAGATTCACCACGATCTTGCTGAATGGCAGAATAGAGCCTCTGTTCGTATCTTTTGGCCTGTGCTCATCGACCCTATGTCAGAATGGGGTTTGGGCTTTGAGGGTGTTGGTGGACAAGTTCAAGTGTTCAGACTTCCCTTGCTTTAGGTTGGAGGACATGAGCTTTATGTATCCCATTGATAGAAGGTGCTATCTGCAGACTAGGTCCAAGTCTGTTGTGACTGCATGCTGCTTGGAGCTGTAGGGCTGGATGTCATGGGTGGGGAGGCAGTGAGTATCTAAGACCCAAACACATGGCACTTTTGGGAAAAACAGCTGACCAGGGTTTTGCTAAGTTTTTTTTTAAATTATTCTTTCATGGGACATGGCACTGTTAGCCAGGCCAGCATTTATTTATTGTCCATCTGTAATGGCCCTGGAGAAGGTAGAGGTGAGCCATCTTCTTGATCTGTGGCAATTCATTTGGTTTCATTACAGCCCCAGTGCCATTAGAGACGGAGTTCCAGGATTTGGACCCAACAACACTGAATGAACAGCCAATCCTGACATTCCAAGTCAGGGGTACTCTCAGGTTCCCATGAATCTGCTGCCCTTGTCTGTTTCGATAGTAAAGGTTGTGCGTTTGGAAGGTGCTGCCAACGGGGCTTTGCTGAGTCACTGCAGTGCATCTTGTAGAGGGTATGCACTGCTGCTACTATTAAGTGTCAGTGGTGCAGGAAGTAGATGTTTAAGTTGGCAGGTGGGGTAACAAACAAGTAGAGGCTGCTTTGTCCCATTGCAGTGTTCTGTTTATTTTAGAAAGCGTGCTTTTATTGTAAATTTTATGTTAAATACTGTTTGTCATTAAGAGGCAGGTTAGTGCCTGCGAGCTGCAGTGAGAAAATGCATTTCTCTTTCCCATGGTGACATCAAAGGCTGCACCCCACAGAAAGCATTAATGGAATGGTACTGCACTCGGGGAAGCAAGGTTAAATTCTTTAAACACCTTATTTCAAAAAGTTTGAGATGTATCTGTATATATTTTGGAAGCAAAGCAGGCGAGGGTTAGGGAGGGAAGGTCGGGTTGTAATTGGTAACAGGGTGGGGGG